CTCACTCCAGGCTCTCTATAATTCACCTTCTATAATTTTAATGGCGCGCTTCGCACTTTAGCGGAGCAAGAAAAAAGAGCCGCTAAATATATGCGCAGTGTTGCCTTCCAGAGAATGGCACATTTCTGGAGAATAGTAATGCCTATCTTCCTAGCATGTAACCAGTTTTAAGCAAAATGTAGGACTGATTTGGGAATAATAAAACTGAATTGTATTTACTTGTCGGCTACGGATCGTGTCTCAAAATGTGGCGGGTCACTGACTTGTCTTTCCGGCTATCATCAAAGGACGGTTAACTGCGGGCTGATTGTTGCAATTGATAGACAAAGCGATAGACAAAGAAGACCTAGGGAGTATGGAGCGATCCTATTGGTTGAAATTGGTGGTTCCTACGGACTAAAGGAGAAAATGACGGACTAACTACCGGGTTCCTCGGATTGCCGTTGGTTAGTCTATTATCTACCTCCTTTGTCCATTGGAACCATCCGCTACCAACAAAAGGATCCCTCCATATCCCTTTTTTATCCTTTATCTATAGCTTTGTCTATACATTTTAATAATCAGCCCGCTGTTCTTAACATTGTAGCTCATCGATTTACATGACTGGGAGTTTCTCTACTTCAACATTGAGACCTCAAATTAGACATTTTGATTTTGCACAGGTGGCTTTCTTTACCAGAATTGTACCTACTCTATGTATTACAATGATTCCGATGTGTAAAATTTTTGAAATTCTTTAATGTTCTAAGACTAATGGCGTCTTTACCAAGATATCCTTTTTCGCTGTCGCAGCGATATAAAACGCTAGCAAAATGTAAAGACATATTTCTTTTATTATAATTTTATATAAACTTCAGAAGTATTCAAAACTTTATGAAAAGTCAAGTGATGAAAAACATTTGATTCGGTGGAATTTTTTCCTTTCGGAGAGTAAAACATCCGGGTTTAAATGTGGCACCGCCGACTCATTTAGCCGCAGAGAGCGCGCGCTGATCAAAAAAGTGGTTACCTAGGGCGACGCGACGCTTTTCCAGCATTGTAAAACCAGGGAGACCAGGGGGGTGAAGGGGGAGTACGGTAGAGCAGGAGGCGTGGNGGGGGGGGGGGGGGGGGGGGACTTGCAGCATCTGATTGATGTCTAAGTCAACGGTGACCAGGTTAGCTCCCTCGCCCCTTTCATCCTGCGTTACGGTCCGGAGATAAAAAATTGAATATTTCTATGAATTTCAAATTAGATTAAGACGAACACGGCCTTCATTTGAGAACATACATTTTGTTTCATCCGCGTGTTCTCAAAGTCGGATAATTAAGCACTCCTGCCGCGTTAGCCCGAAGAGCGCGTTTCTCTAATTTCTCCTTTGATATAACTAACGTTTTTTGCCTTAGCTGCCGCAGTGCCGCTTACACGGAGGATGGAGGAGACAGTGGGAATTTCTTTACGGAATCAATAATAAATGTGTTCTTGATATTCGCCAGACAAAGAATTAAATAATTTGAAGAACATTAATACTGCCAGAAGTTTATCTTATCTTCTTCCACTCTTGGTTCGCCACTTCTTGAATACACCTCTAAAATTGCAGTTTTTGTACTCTTGCAATTATGAGAGGATATGAGAGTATGTTACCTAATCACTCAAATAACTGTCGATACTTAATATTGCTAATACATTTATCTGGGTTAAACCGGCACGTTATAACAGTCTCCTTTTAATGGTTCTCAACTACTTTGTCGCGAGTGGATCTGTGTTTTGTAAATATATTATTTTTTTAAAAATTCTCTCGCTAAGCAAGCAATTAGTTTCAGCACTTTAAATAATTGAAGAGTTCTCTAAGTTTTGAGTGTTCTGCAGATAACCTGTGAAATTGAAAACTACCCGACGCTGTGTGTAAATATCAATTCTGTAGCTACATCTTGGAGCATCAATTAGATGTAAGGCTTACATTTCTGAGCTCAAAAGTTTCGCCTTCGAAATTTGATGCTCTCATTTTACAATGGTTTAATAACAATTGAGAACTTTTTTTTTCAAGTTAAGGGTGAATAATATAAAATGAGTAAGTTTTAAATGCTACTGAACAGCATTTTAAAGGTAAATTTGTTTTCCAGACCTAATTTTTCATTATAAAAGGCCCTGGTAAAAATTGGCAGTAGAATCTGTGTTCCAAAATACCATTCACCTACAGCCTGCTGTAAGATTTCGAATAGCTTCTATAGCCGGCAACACAATTGTTTATAGCCTTTCATAGCCGATGGCGATTAAGCAACAGCCTGGCGATAAAGTGTATGCTAAACTTCACTAATTACGGATGCTAGGACTTAGTGAGTTTTTGGACTACCGCTCTCTTTTTGGGCCGTAGTATCTTGATTTATTTTGCGAGGAAAGCTCAGTTCTTTTGAAGGATGCCTGCCATTCCTAATATGTTGGAGCGCCTTCAATTTCGTATGATACTGTGCAATACCTCTGGTGTGAAATAGTTGCTTCAAGCGCCGTGGTACGCTGCGGCGCGGCGCAGGGGCAGCCAGCGCGAAACGCGCATTGGCACCTACAAACCTAACAGGAACACTTCACGCGTTGCGCAATGCGTGAAGTATCCCTGTTAGGTTTGTAGGCGCCAGTGCGTCGCCGCTCCGCTTTGTGTTAGGCTCTAATATTTAATGTGGCGGAGTCAGCGTTATTCAACTCATGATTTTGAAATTTTTGCACATCCTGTATGGATTATTCTCATTTTAATTGATGAAAAAAAATATGTATTAAAGGAAAATATAATGTGTGTTTTGTAAATATTAAGGTGGTTCCGTATCAAACTTAATGATTTCCAAAGCACACGAATTTCTACACAATTTCTTATAGCCTTTTATAATCGATGGCGAAAAAGCAACAGCCAGGCGATATAGTGTAAAGCCCGGCGATAGGAACTATAGCCCGGCTGTATAATTTTTTATCGCTTCGTGTAGCCCGGCCGTATAATTTTTTCCACCTTCTACAGCCAGCTTTATGATTTTCTATCGCTTTCTTCAGTCGGCTATTAGAACTCCTATGGTATTTTGAAACGCAGCTCCTATCGCCAATTTTTACCAGGGGGGGGGGGGGGAGNGGGGGGGGGTGAGTGAACCGTCATTTGATGCAATATTTTACTAAATATATGAAAACTAAAAGAACTGTCCACGCATGGTGTCATCTACTTTTCTGACTATCTTAAATGTTTTTTTTCTCCCTCTCTCTAAGAAAAACAAACAAACTAAGAATCGTCCTCATTCTTAATTGCATATCGACGGTGAAACTACCAAACCACGTATCTCGTTTGCGGTGTTTAAAAATCTACGCTCACATTTTATTTTTTTGAAGTAGACCAAATCAATATCATTCCTTGAAATTTTCACAGAATTTTCTCCGCACGAGGAGGAAAAATCGCAGAAATTTTCAAGACTGGACGTTAAGTAGTTTTTCATTTAAAAAATAAAGTATGACAGGAAGTCTGCGACGTCGCAAACCGAGATACGTGGTTTGGTAGTTTCACCGTCGATATGATAAATGGAGTTCGTTTTTAGTTTCAGCTTTACTGTGGTATAATCTACGTATGTTTACGGTTACACACTGGACTCTCTCACTTTTGATCATTGTGCAACATGAAACCCGGACCAAACTTGACATGTGTTTGGATGATAGCGTTTCTGTCATTCACAGTGTTACGAGAATTTGCATGCTATAAGATCCTATTTGCTTTGCCAATGCCCAACAAAAGCCATTTCACCACGAACAGGGTCCTTGCTGAGGAACTTGCTCGTAGGGGACACGACGTGACCGTGGTTACAGCATTTTCTCAAAATGGAACAAATTACCGAGAAATTATAGTTGACATGAAAGTATTCGAGGCTTTATTCCCTCGTAAGTATATTTCAATACTTATACATTTTTCCGGGGTATATAACCTCATTTATTTTACACTGGAAAAAAAGCACATTGGATCTGGAGTCTAGACTCTTGAAAACATTGACAAGGAAAAGGACTCTTGATTCAAGCAGATTTAAGCTTAAATCAAAAGGAAATCCGCTCAAATTAAGAGGCTTGGTTCAAGAGGTTGAATCAAGAGTATTTTTTCTTGTCGATGTTTTTAAGAGTCTGGACACTAGAATCAATGTGTTTTTTTTCCAGAGTAATACTGATGCTTACTGCATATTCCTAGTAAATTTTTTAGTAGGTAGCAGGGGCTGACTAGCATTGACAAAGTTAGGAGGCGATCATGATGTGTTGGCCCCTCTGACGGAGTTCTAGGGGATTCTGCGCAAATGGAGGGGTCTCCCGAAAATTTTCGAGAATTAGGTACCCCTAAAACTCAATTTTGGTTGAACCCATAATAAAGTAACAAATTTTCATCCTATTACTCTTAGGGTTCCAAGGGGAAGAAATTTCGTTATCATTCTCGGATTAGCTTCTTATAAAAGGAAGAAGTTTTATTTTTCCTGTCAAACGCAGCCAAAATGGATTACAGGAAGTAGCGAACGAATTTTTTCCAGAACTAAATACTGACATCATCAATAATAATCCGAGAAAATATGAAAAAAAAAATGGAAAAAGAAAAACTTCAGGGAGTGGCCACCCCCTCTCTCCTTACACTGCCTGAAAATGTTTGAATGTTAGCTTTGAAAGTCCTCGGGGCCTAGCACCCCGCGGATGTATCACTAAATTGTCTTCATTTTGAGACTGTTGGGCCCCTCTCTCCCTCTTTTGACACTGACATGGTGCTAACTGGGGCTGAGGGCTAGGGCCAATTTTGGAGGCTGAGGGGCTTTGGGAGAATGTAAGGGACTTCAGCGGTCTGGTGTCGCAGAGCGTCAGAGAGCGCTGTGAAAGCAACTCGAATGTCTGTACATAATGATGCTAAAGAAAATATAAAGTAAAAAAAATCGCCGAAATGTATGCATCCTTTCAACTCTTTTTAATTAATTTTCGAGCTGATTTTCTTCCTTTGAAACTTGCAATGTTTCAGGAAATCATAAATTATATAAAAACTATGCAAAAATGAATCCGTTCGAATCTCTTATTCAAAGATGGAATGTAATACCAAGAGCTTTGGATGTAGCGCTGTCAACGGATGCGATGCAATCTATTATTCACTCTACAGATCAGTATGACGTCATAATAACTGATTTGAGTTTCTACCAGTCTTGTATCGTTGCTCTCGGTCACAAATTCAATGCACCGGTGATAAATATTAGTCCAACCGCACCATCCAGCTATGCCGCAAGTACGTAATCCACTATTACAATTTAGTCTACATAAACATAAAAAATAAAACTACTAGTTTTCCTTTACACAGTTCTTTACTTCATAATGCACTCTGGTGATTGAGGTGCCTGCTTGAATTAAATATGCGGTGTTAACTTATCTGCACGAAATGTAATGAAACGACTCCATCAACGAAGGTCATTGCAAAATTAGAATGAACCATCAAGGAGTGCGATTGCTGAATTTTCTCGATTCATTTTTTGAGGACTGAATCGAAATGGGTACATGACCCATTTGCGATCTTCGGTCTGTGGATGTGGTCAACGGTCCAAAGAGTCTGGACCTCCCAAGATCCGAAATTTTTGCCAGTAGACGGTCATTGAGCTATTTTTGGCATTTCATAACTCTGGATCTCCCCATTTTTTAGTAAAATTTTGACTTGAGGCTCGCACCCCTCTAAAAGGAATTCCTTCGTTACGTTACGCGACAAAACGCAGAAGGCCCGATTCAACTTTCCAGGGTTACGGTCTACCCGTTCAGAGGGTCTTGCCTTTTACCCCTCTACCTATAATTTCTAAACTTGTATACGTTTTTGGATGGAGCCCAAAGAATGCATTAGTGATTGATCATTATTATAATAATTATTATCGCTCCGAGAAACGTCATATTGATGTCAATTTGCTCAAATTTCAGAAATATTCGCGCGGGCTTGACCGTCACCCATTTTTTATTCATTTTATACGTTTTTTACGATTAAGATTTTCGCAAAACGCTGAGGTCCGATCTCAATTAAAAGTGCATCACATCTATACATATAATGATGAATTTTTGACCGGTAAAACAGGACTGCGCAAAAGGTCTAAGAAAATATATGAGGATTGCGCGAAAAAGGCACAAGGATTGCGCAAATAGAAACCTTACATCTGCTACTGGAATGCGCGAATTTAAAATGAAGTTAATTTAAGGTAGAAGTTTGGCAAAACAGGAAACAGTTTGAAAATATACGCAGTTTTACGTCAACGTTAGTTTAGGTTAGTTTGTTGACAAGTCATCGATGTCTTACCTTCTGATGATAAATGAGGTGAAAAGATTGAATAATGGTCGTGGGTATAAAGAACTTTCCTAACTTTCCTCGGAAAAAATATTCAATCGAAACGAAGCATCGTTGGAATGCTTATACGGCGACGAAACACAACCTAGACCTTGAGCTTCATTATTCGATGCCGCGATTATTGTAACACGAGTTCGAATAATCGCGCCAAACACAGTGTGGCCGGCGTTAAACGTACAGCGCCTGCAAGACTTTAAGAATGCTTCACGCATTGCACCAAATAGTACGGTCTGCGTACGAGACTGCGGCGTTCAGTCGGCGTTTCATTAGCGCCTACAAGACCGGATGAACACTTCTCGCACTGCGCCAAACACAGAGCAGTCGGCCAGCTCATTTACACAGCGCGAAACACATAGTACAAGACTGTAGGAATGCTGTTGAACTGCGTGCCATCATTCTTGACTTTCTGCTCTAGTTTATTCCATAACTAAAGGAAAAATATTGTTCCTCATTGTAACGATTCAGAAATGTGAATGATATTTAATTTTTTTTTTTTTGTTCCTCCCATTAAGAGAAAATGGAACGAACGAAAATATCGCGTCGAAATTTTCGATTCTTTTATGCGAAATCATTTTGTTAAATTAGCGGAAACTTTTCAGGAAAACTGTGTGTAGCTTTTTAAAAACATTTATTGAAAATATAAAACGTAAAATTGGTGCAGAACGTTGCATTCAGGTATAAATATACGTTATCTTTCAGGTGCACCCATCGAATTTTGAATCCATTCATCTCTTAAAAAATTTGAAAATGGCTGTTCTACGATTTTTCACCTACAGTTTTTCCAGTGGTTGGCGGCCGCGTAGCGGCCACAGGTCCTTACTTCAGTTTTTAAATGTGTATGAAAGCTCTCTGGGCCATTCGTGCTGCGAGGGCTATCCATCGAAGAGAGACATGCCCGTAAGTGAGGAGGAAATAAACAGTCTTCTGCGACGTAGTTATCCACCACAAACTACCAAAGTTGCCAGATTAACGCTTCCTCGTTCAATATTGAACATGTGAGTTTTCTGTACCAGAAAAATTCGCGCAATCCTATGCATCTCCAAAAAGGAAGAAAAGGGAACATTTGCGCAATCCTATCGCAACCTTTTTGGCATCTGTTAATCAATTAAAAATAAATTTACACGAGTTTCTGACATTTGTTTGATATTTGATGGAATATTTCTACAATTTATAGGCGTATCTGGAAACCCAATTCCGTTTTCCGTCGTGCCAAGCAAATGGGCTGCCCTTCCGGGTGGGATGAAATTCTTTGATCGGGTCTTCAACACTCTCATCAGCTCCTGGGATTTACTCGGCGAATTTTTTTACGTGCAGCCAAAACAAGAAATTTTGATGAGAAAGCACTTCACTTATGCCGGCTCCGAGGATTTACCACCGCTTCGTGAAATGCTCCAAAACGTATCGATCACGCTCGTAAACTCGCATTTCTCACTCGGTATCCCTCGATCCTACGCCCCGAATATGGTAGAAGTCGGTGGATTCCACATTCAACCGAAAAAAAGGCTGGCAGACGTTAGTATCGGATTATTTCCTCATTTTTTTCTCGCAGAAATCACCCCAGGGTAAAAAAAAATAAAATATAATTAGAGTTAGCTGTGCACTTGAAATTATTCTGGATGGTCCAGGATTTACTATAGTTGTAGGGGTCACATTAAATGATAATTTGTGGCATCAGATAATCCCAAAAATACTGCCCTCAGTAAGAACTATAAGTGATCAAATTTTGGTTTTTAATTAGTCAGAGACATAATGCTGATGACAATCCAGAAACTTAAAAAGTCTCACGGTTGACGTTTAATAATAATATTAAAAGGAGAAAAACTTATCCACCTAGCAACTGCCAAAAATAACATTTTACAATTTTTGAGAAGACGTTACTGCAATGACAATTTTGGCAGTAACGTGGTGACAAAGTTTTCGTCAACACTTTTTCCGAAGCATTGACATTTGCAGTCTTGCTACCTCCGACATTATTCTGAAAGTTTCAACTTCCCTGATTATTGGAAAATGTATCAGATGCTTTAATGAATATCCTTGTCTTTGACGATTACTGTTGCCCTCAACGTCCATTTTTGCCTTGAACGACCACTGTTACCATCAACAACCGTTGTTCCCCTTGAAGATCAACGTCACCCTTAACACACACTTATGAGAGCAGAATATAACAGCGAGCTCGTAATAATCTATAATTTTTTTAGAGAAGTCAAAACAAAAATAAATAAATAAAAAATAAAGTATATAATGTGACCGATGCATGCGAAGTTTTTGCGATTGGATACAAAAACTGTTCTGCTTCCAGAATTTGGAGAGATTCATGAACAAGGCTAAAAATGGAGTGGCTTACGTTAGTTTTGGCACACTAGTGCAACCGCATCATCTGAGCAACGAGAAATTATTACTAATTAGCACAGCACTACGGAAATTAAAACTACACGTTATTCTGAAGTGTAACTATCTCTCAGATGCTGATCTTCAAAATGCTGAGGGTGTGTTACTTTTACACTGGGCTCCTCAACAAGAAATTTTAGGTAAGAATCTTTTGAAATTCTCAATGAAATACGCGCTATACGCGGCGAAAGATATTGGGGATTCTTGATCAATGCGTAGCGATGAAATTTCATTTAGGTGCATCAAACATGATAGAACGGATTTAAGCGGGATCAGTCCAACTACATCAGATGCTGCCTAATTTTCCCTGGTATTTTATTTTTTCAACAGGAAAATAAGCAACGCCGGAACTAGAATATTGGCACGCAGGTATATTCTTCATATTTTCCGAATAAACACACAAAAGTTGATTCTGGACGTGGGGAATTATAACAAGTGTTCGATCGATCTCCGTTTGCAATGACATCATAGATTTCCCGTCGTTTTTTTGTTTTTTGTTTTTTTTTTGGGTTTTTTGTTTTTTTGTTGAAAAGCACTCAACTTAATTTATTGAACATTGCTTTGAGTTTTTCTCTCTATATTAGCATCATAACTCTCACAGAAAATAAAATAGGAGCAGAGATTTTAGAGCCCCGCGATGGAGATATGTCGTTTTGCACTTAAGGTATCCACTTGTGATATGAACTAAACAAATTTGTGTTTGAAGGAGACGCACCCATCGTGATTATCCGGTGATTTCACAGCTGAAAATCCTTTCGTTAATCTGTCTCTCTCGTATGAACCATACTTATTGGAAATTAATTGGTCGATATTTTACATGACACCATGAATGAAGTCAGTTATCATGAGTTATGTCGAGCCTCCTTGGTTTTGGACAGCCTTGGATAGGCTTTGTTGCTTTAAAGCATCACGCATTTTTCTACAATACTATGCTATATAATTATTTGTGTGTTTTCCATTTTAATTAATTGGTTTTTCATTAATTTTTTTGTATCGGTCCATGGGATAAATACAGCTCATCCAAATTGTGTCTTATTCGTGACACATGGGGGTTACAACAGTTTGATCGAGGTGACATGGGCCGGTGTTCCAGTTCTCTGTATTCCTATCTTCTCTGATCAATTTCACAATGCTCAAATTGTTGAGGAGAGTGGCGTTGGAAAGATACTATACCAGGACCAGCTCACTGAAGCCATTTTGGCTGAGACTGTTGACTCAATAATTCATGATGCTAAGTAAGTCGCTTCATACAAAATATAAATTGGAGATTAGGGTTAGAAAATAAAACAAGTTGGCACTATAGCTGAGAAAGAATTTATACGTGAAAATGAAATCTTAATTGAAAATATTGATATGACCAGAGGGTAAAACCACGTGTCTGCGTTTGCGATGTTGCACACCTCCTGTCATACTTAATCGTTTCAATAGAATACTTAGACTGCATTTTGCAATTTGGAACTTTGCAAAATTCAGTCCACTTAATCGATACTCATCGTGATTTCTTAAAAAAACTTGGGAATTATTCTTCTCTATCAGAAGAATATTTTGTGTATAATGAAGGCTTGTTTACCTTTGACATATAAAATAGAGGCGGAAATTTTGAAACACTGCAACGGAGGTGGTTTCGCACTTTGGCAATGGATATGAAGATAATGATACCGAAGAAAAGAAAATAGAGGTTAGAGAAGGAAACAAACATTCCCAACAATGAAGTCACATTTAATTATTAAGATGGTTTGAAAGGGGTGTGATCCCATTGATCTATCATAGTTCGAATATGCATGTAAATGTTCATGATATATTGATGCTTGGTGATATATTTTGCTTATTGCGACTGGTGAGGATAAGCTTGATTTGGTACATTTTGGCTTGATTTTGGTTTTTTGGCTTTGGCTTGAATTATATATATGATACGTGCATAATTTTGTTTTCCTTCTGTAGTTTCAGGAACCGAGCGAAGGAACTTTCCGACATTATCAAAGACCGCCCCGAGTCGCCCATGGAGAGAGCCATATTTTGGATAGAGTATGTAGTGCGGCATAAAGGGGCCCACCACTTGAAACCAGCCTCTGTCTATTTAAATTGGTACGAGGACATGCTCTTGGACGTTATAGCTGTTTTGCTACTGGCAACGTTTGTAATACTGCGAGGGCTTGGTAAACTATTCAATGCGTGTAAAAAAATTGGAAAATCTATCTCTGTTCCAACTGCGTTCAAATTCTCAACCGAAGCCAAAGAAAAAAGTATCTGAAAATATTTGAAATGTTTGTTAGAAAAAAGAAAAAGTGGATTGAAGGACCATTGACGGCTTCCTAAAATCTCACTCTATCGTGAGGTAACCATACTGCTCTTCCTGTGATTGGAAAAAAATGACGGAACAAGCGGAGGTACGGCCCATGACCCTCAACATAATGCTAGGCGGAAAATGCAGATAGTACAAAGATGAGAGTGTAAAACGAAGCGGGGTGCAGGTGAGGTCTACGAGATGAACGAAAGCCCAACCTGAGAGTATCTAATTGAATCTTTGAATGAAGCTGGCACACGTGAATTAATAAAGGCAGGCGGATGATTTTAGGTTGAATGAGAGCAACAGCTCATGAGTCTAACGGCCGGTTAAGTGATTCCATCAAGATCTAGATGGAACAGCGTTGCCGTACTCAACCCTTTCACTCCACGTCACTCGTTTTTCCGTGACATAAGTCTTTTTAAGAACAGTGATATCACACGGAGAAAAAACCTCGTGCGTAGGACCCGAAGTTTAGGTCATATGGATCTCTGAAGTTTTCGGATTGAGAATCTGAATACTTTAGGTCTAGCTGTCGAGGTTCGGATCACACATCTGAAACTTCAATTTTTACATCTGAAGTACTACTTCAGATATGAGAACCGAAGTTTTTCGGATGTGAGAACCGAAGTTTTTCGGATGTGAAAACCGAAGTACTTCAGATGTATGAACTAAAGTTTCAGATGTGTGATCCAAACCTCAGCAGCTGGACCTAAAGTGTTCAGATGCTCAATCCGAAAACTTCAGAGATCCATATGACCTAAACTTCGGGTCCAACGCACGAAGTTTTTTTTTCCGTGTACTCTTCCTCTTTGAGACCGTAAGAAGAAGCTTCAACGAAATAGTTAAAGGATTGCAAATATTTAGAAAGTATCAATGTTATTCGGATTGACAGTGTTATTCGGACATTTTATGCTAAAAGGAACGATGCGCGCATCGGATTTACGTGTAGCATATTTTCTTTAAGCATAAATACGTCCATTTGTGAAATGATACAACCCATTATAGCTGGGTGCTGAATTTCTCGGTGTTCATGCCTCATACAAGCAGCTAAAAAATTAGAACTAAACCCTTAAAATTTGAAATATCGTTATCGAGATACGTGTTTTGAATTTTGAACGGTGCCTTTATTATTGAATCGCCATAATTTTATTGTTTTCTTGGCCGACTCCGTAACCGCGTTAAGTGATTTAACCAGTTTTCTTTGAGCCCGAGCTCGTCTAAACCTGGCAGCGCCGACCGGAGCACAACCCACCAATTACGTTTTTTGAGTCTATGATTATCTCTCAGATTTCGTCTTACTTCCAGGGCAGGGTTTGAGTCGGGCTATTGTTGAGCCGCTAAGCACGTCCCGTTCCCATTTCAATCATGTCATCAGCCCATCCAGTCTCGATTAAATTAGACAATATTTAGTGTTGTTTAGCATTAGCGCGCTGAGTATCACGCCCAGCTATAAGGTGCTCCTTAAAGATTCAAGTTTCATAGAATACTTTCTTCTCAAGCATAGAGTAACCTTGCGCCTTATTTATAATTGGACGTATTTCTATCAAACGGAACTATGTGCATTATGACGTGAACCCTGTTATGCATATATTCTTATGGGTCTCAGGGCTCATGTCTTAGTACACATAGTTCCGTTTGACAGAAATACGTCCAATTGATCCTTTACGGTATAATCCTTCCTCAAGGAGCGTCATATCCTACACCAAATTCCGTGAAATTTGGATCATGAAAACTAAAAAGCTTCTTTAAAAGCATTTTTAGTGGGAAAATTGCAGTGGAGGAATGGGATTTTTATTTTAAGTAAATTAAGAATTTTTTGTATTTAAACTTTTAACAAGTCCACAGTCAGTCTTTCGGTTTCACACTCAGAGTCTGGAGACGAAAAAATGACGAGGTGATTAAAGATATAGGTAAATAAAAAATAACTGGTCCTGAGTTATTCCTAAAGTTTTAAATTTTAATATTTACTGACTTTTGTTTAGTGATTAAAAAAAACGGAAAATACCTCAAGAATTTTTGCAAAAACCTTAAAATTTGAATACTTCAAAATTATGTTGCATGTAATTATGAGGCGGAAGAATTTTTTCGATGAATACCACACATTTATGGGGTAGTATAACTCATATGTATGCCACACCTGCGCTTTTTTTTTTGTGAATTTTAATACCAAAATTTATAGGTATTCTAGGAATTAATCATCCAATTTTTAGCTTCGATAGATTTTCTTAAAAAGTTCAAGTGTGACTCAGAAGCTGTCAATAGTTAGAATGAGTTAAACAAACACATATTTAAAACCAGTCACGCACCGGCGTGGCTGTGCCTTGTCTAGATTTTAATTAATTTTTTTTTAAATTCATATCAAAGAAGGCGTTTTTGCAAACAACATAACCTGCGGTGACCTCACCCTATGCGTTAGCGAGCGTATTGGGGTACCGAGTTTACCTTGAGTATTCTGACAAAAAGTCAGAAAGTAGCGATGTAAATTGAAAGTTTGGATTTATTGAAAAAGAATACGAATAAATTAATCAAAATTTAATTAACTCCCACTCCGAATGAGAAACGAGCCAGAAAAAAATGGACAAAACTACCAATTAAAAATTAGGCAATAAGTTAGAGCGGTACGTGATGAATTTTCAAGCTCGCGGTCGCACAAAGATTCCGGTTTCGTTTGATTTAAACACGCTCTCAGTGGATTTCGAATGTTCACGTCTCTGAAAAGTGTCGTGCGAAGAGATTTTCGTAGCTCATCCACTCCAGATCCAGATCCACCACCACCAAATGAAAAGTTAGAAAAGTTTTAAAGTTAGAAATTAAGTTAAATGTATATAAATTTAAAATTTGAAAATATAAAAGATTAACATTTAAAATTTAAAAATTAGAGCAACCCAGCATCTACAGCATTGTATCTACCCACTACAGATCTTCCACTCATATCTCAGCAATGGTGGCAGCTTTTACATTATTGGCTGTATCGCTATTCGGGGGTGTAAAAGCGAAATTTCACTATCGAATGTCGCTGGCGAAACTTCAGAAATGCACACCTCCGTTTACTGCACGGCGTTGCAGACTTCTCGTCATACTTCATTTTCCACATAAAAAACTACTGAACTTCATTTCTGCTCGAAAACTTTCCTGATTTTTCTATTTAGTGAAGAATATTTAGCGAAACTTTCAATCCATGATCTTGACTCAGTATCCTTTCAAGTATAATCTTGTCTCTTGTATCTACACATTGCATCTTGGTGGATCCGAAATCATTTTTAAAGAAGTGATAGAGGATTTAGGTTTATTTGATCCGTATGCGGGGCACACGTTGATGAGAGGTACTTCAAACTGTTGTCACGAATCGAAAACGCCTTCAATTTCGCGCGATACTTCATCGATCACACTAGAGTTAATATATTTGTATCACACACTGCCTCGCGGAACCCTTTGAACGATCATGAAATATATTATCTCGCACTGAAAAAAATAATAATAAAAAAAAAAAAAAAAAAACTTCTCTGACCGTGAAAGCCGCACTTACGGGCTATATGGACATACGATACGATGTCCGTTCTGGGCTCGAAGGCGATAGTTCCGGGCGTAGTACCCGGAGCAAGTGAGGCTACTGCTGGAGCACCCGGAACTGCCGGCCTCTGAGACCGGAACGGACGGTGTGTCGATACAGCCCGTAACTTTTTTTTCAAAGTCGGAAACTATAGTCGGCATATAGTCGGGAAATCCTTTGTGGAAACTGTTGGCACCGTTTGCAAACGTTCTTTCAAATGTAATGTATTCAACCATGCTTGAAGACTGTTGAAAGGTCTCTCCTTGTTCTGGACCCACTGTCCGATGGTTTCCATCGCGAAGTCCATAGTTCCGCGAGATGGACTCTGTGTGTGGCTAGCTTTCGGCCAGGTGTCAAAAATTCGGCGAATTTTTCACGGCGGATTATGATTCGAGCCGGGCTTCGGGGACGTCAAAATATTTTACGGTCGCGTGCCCGCCTTTTTTCGCCGTCGCCGCGGCGGACAATAAAACTCGGATTTCGGGCGAGCCCCGTCCTGGTGCGGATATAAGGAAACTCCGGTAAATTATTGGCGCCTTATCGTCGCTCCTCTGACGTAAGGGCATATCTCGATTTCGGGATGAGCCCCAGAAAGCATAGACTCATATGTGAAACAGGGCTCACGTTCATACTGAGATACGCCCTTACGTCAGAGGAGCGTCCTTATAAAGTCATCCGCGGCCGGCGGCGTGATTTATGCACGGCTCAATCACAATCACCCGCCACAACTCGAATCCACGCGCATCGAATCCGACTAACGGGACGCCTCATCGATGAGGGAATTAATTGAAGATCCCCGAAATTAGTTTCGCCCGAGTAAAATGATATTGCGAAAGTCGTTCGTGCGATGATTTTTATGAAAGGACACCGCCACCCTCAAATAGCAATTTTTTTCTTCCTCACTCAATGGATCGTATTCGATCGTGGTTCGATGTATCGTTTAGTTCAAAACAACTGCGAACAAAACCTCAATCAAAAATTTTAGGATTTAAGTTGGAAAAGCTAAAAACGAGCAAATTCCTAACAATTTCACTTTTCATTGCCATTTTGAACCCATAAGAGTCAAAAATCTATCACAAGAAAACCCGTTCCCTCACAGATTTCAAAATTGACTTATGAGGCTATATTTACATTATGAACCAATCGATATCAAGATGTATCGAATACTATCTATTTTCTTCAGATATACACATACAGGCTGCAATTTGTCCTTCAGTTTGTAAAGCGCGCGGCACCTGAGGCCTCGGCTCTACAGCCTGAGCCTTGAGAACAAACTTGTTTTTTGGATATTATATTTCGGCCAATTAGCTTGTTGATAAATCTTAATCTAGTCAGAAATCAGGATTTTGTCGAGTGACGACATTTCCGTGAATATTGATTAAAATTTGAGGGACGTTTGACCGACATGTTTTTGTATATTAAATGGATATTTGACGAAAATTGTCGGAAATTTTAGAGATCCTTTGATCAAGAGTAGATCAAAATTGAAAGGATGCCGTCTAATAATCTGTTGTTAAGAGTCAAAAATACTGTCTTGACGGACAGTTTTGGAAAAATCGAGTTATTTGCATTCTTGACATTCCTAGTAATGGGTCCATGTGCGTAGACGAATTGGCGGCTATGATATAACTTGAGTAAGTTCAAGATGCAGGGTATTTCAAAAAGAATTTCTCAAAGTTCAAAAAGTTTTCAACCTCTTTGGGAAGTTCTGCCCGGTTTGTCTCATCAACCATCGACACTAATGGATACTGTTGTCAACAAATTTGACCAATCAGAACCGACGGCTATTTTCGATTGATCGAACCTTATTTACGACCACCTGGTGAGGCGGTACCAAAATTACGCATTAACGTTGAGATTCATAAGACACCGAATCGGAAGTATACC